GACTTCATGTATTTATATTCGAGCGGTAAAAAAGCTCGCTTTGGTGTCACTCGAGAAGAACAACAAGATCTATTCACGGTTTCGGCCGATTACTCCTTGGCTCACTGTGTTGCAGAAGACCTAAGGATGTCCAGGGGAATAGCGGTTGTTTTTAAAAACAAGTTTGGACGGATCGACGAGCTACGAAGGCAGAATCCCAAAGTTGGAGAGGTGCTTGAAATTGTGAATAATGAGCAGATAGGCAACAGAAGTATCTTCTATCTGGTAACAAAGCAGCTCTCCCATCAGAAGCCAAACTACCGTGATGTATGGAATGCCTTAAATAAATTGAGGGATACCCTTTTGTCCAAGGACATCATGAACCTGGCGATACCAAAGATTGCTTGTGGACTTGACGGTTTGGACTGGAGAATAATTAGAAGTATGGTGGAAGTTATCTTCAGATTTAGTGGCATACACATTCTTGTCTGTTGCTACAACCCTAAAAGCACAACCGGAAGGAAGACCGTAGACTGCTACTTCTATAGGACGTCACAATGCAAGTTTGGATCTCTATGCAAATATCGCCATGGAGCTGAGGACCATTTTCGGGACGAAAATGTTTTAAGACGGGGGCAATGTAGCGAGTACCGCCCTGGATATCGGAGTGATGACTCATCGCCGATTAGTCATTGCCGGTGAGTCATCGCCGGTGACTCAGCGCTCGAATAATCGAGAGTGTGGAGCTCGCTGGAATGTTCCAGAATACTTGGGCGCTGGATATATAAGAAACGGAGCAACACAGAGCAGTTAGTTGAGCTTTGGTACGCGCGAAGAAATAAATAAATATAAGTGCAAATAAATAAACCAGTAGTGATATAAATAATTAGTAGTTAAGTGTTTAGTTAGTTTTATAGTGTTTTAAGTGTAGTTAAGTTATTAAATAAATAGTTTAGTTCGTTAATTAACCAGTGCGTGTTTTAATTCACACTACGAACAGTTAAAAACGTTACAATATATATATATATATATATATATTTAAATTTGGGAAAATTTTACTATCAATGAGTACTACAAAAACCAATAATTGTTTTTTGTATTTTCCAAAGTCGGGAAAACTGTGATCCGTTTCACGAATTCTCACCCAATATAAATAAATATCTAATTTTGTTTTTTTTGACCAGTTTGTCCACAAAAAATGCGAATTTCAAGAGGCCTTAAAAATTGCGAGATAATATTACAAAACTCTGCAACTCTTGTTGCACTGTGTAATTTCTGCTTGGTAAAAACAGAGTTTCGAATTTGTCACGGTTTTGTTTTTTGTGTTTTAGAAAATACAAACAAAATAGAAACACCACAGGCACTGTGTGGTGGAAAACTGCCTTAAGAAATATTAAGAAATAAGTTCACCAAGAATTTAAAATTGTATTTTTAACAAAGTTTTTTTGAATTAATCCGTGTCTCATGTTTAAAATTATTAAATAAAGCTATCTAGATTTACTTTCTAAGTAAGTGGGCTATAGCAATACTATAGTAATACGGCTATATCATGTTTCTTTACTGGTGGGAAATAAGTTCTAGCATGCAATATTTTGGTTTATTAGTTGATATTCAAATAGAAAAAAAATATTATGTCAAATAATATTGGGTGCCTATACCTACAAATTATGGTACCTACATTACAATATACTTTTATACAAGTAGGGGAGACCGGGGTAGAACCGGGTACCGGGGCAGAACGGTGTTTTATTTAAATTTCCCGCTGCAGACGATCGATAGTCCTTTGTTATCATTTACTAGAATGCTAACACGTCAATTGGTGATGACAAATGGGTTACTACAAACGTTTTAGTGTGTTTTAGACTAAACGTGGTGAAATTGTGTTTTATATCTTTTCGATGTAAATATTGTATAGGTATACCCATTTTCAGCTTCATTTGAGGATTGGATTTTATGCACACAGTGCCAAAAGCGGGCTTAAAATTCGTGTGCGGGGATAGAGAGTGATGACGACGATGCAGAACTTGTCTGTGAATTGTGTAAGCCCGATAACCCCATTCTGCCCCGTAGGAATGGAGTAAAGGACACTTTTTTTTTAATACGATAATAAAAAATAATTGTTAACCATTTATGTTAATATTTTTTTTGTATTTTGTTTATAATACTTTAATAAATCGTTCTTCTTTTTTTTGAATTTGTACCACGTCTCTACCCTACTAAAAATAATTTTTAAACGTTAGAGTCCCCCTACCGCCCCGGTCTCCCCTATTATTCATTTGCCATATACGGGTATGTACGGCTTGTATTAGTCCCATTAAGGTATTTTTTGTGGTTTTCTTGATAAACATGTATATTTAGATTTGTTAATACGTCGAATGTTCTCGACCACAGAACATAATGTTGTCGGCTGACATCGTTGATTATTGATTTATTAAAAAAATGTTATAAAGTGTACCTAACAATGTTTTATAAATGTCGATTAATGTTAATTGTTCCTTTTGGTGAATCAACTGTGAGTAAAACTAGGGTTTAGGAGCAGTGGCGGCTCGTGGGTGTACAGGAAGGTGAGGCTACATAAGGTTAATTTTGTCTAAATACGAATAAATTTCCACGTCACCCGGGAGGTATTATTCTGCGACGCGTTGACCTTTTTTAAAATGGAGCCGATAGCACTACTAAACCAAAAAATAAACTCTTAAAAACAAAACAAACAAAATATCACATCAAAGACTAGTTTTAATCTTAAACTTAAAAAATAGTCTTAAAAAAGTTAAAAATAAATAAATAAATCAAAAAATAAAAATAAAACTAAAAAGTCGACCCCTACCTAAGTATTAAAAAATATAAAATACTATACGTCTATCTTTTAAGATTGAAAATTTATCTATTATTTGGTCGTAAAATTGTGGGTCTGCAGTGAGATTTAAAAGTAATTCTAAATTTTCAAACCGCGTCTCTAATTGAAGAATTATGCAATCTATTATTTCAAAATATAAAATTTGCTTAATAAAAACTGCTAAATCTACCTTAGTGTGTACCCTACAATAATTAAATAAGAAATTTTACTAATCGAGACAAAAACTATAAAAGATCAGCCAAAAGTTTTAAATAATTTAATCTGAATCAAAACAATAACGTGCTCTACAAACGCTAAGAGAAGACTGGCAACCTTCTTTGTCTCCGCTGGCATCCCACCATAAACGGACCACCAATCAGAACAAACCAAGCTAACTTAATTTCGCCTCATCTACGGTGTTTATTCGCGAACTTACGGCGATATTTTTGTTGGTGAGTCGTTTTCTCTTTCAAGACGTAAATGGGAGCTTCCGAGGCTGTGAAAATTTCGCCTCTGTCTGGCGTCTCAACGATGCACGTTAACTTGACGCGCTTTGCGCCTGGATTTTTATTTACGCTTAATATGATTGATTGGTTTTTACTTTTTATTGGATAGAACTGTTGTAAAAATACACTTGTAATAGGCAAAAATATAAATACAAAAAGTCGTTCGTTCCTTCATTTTAAGGGTGAGGCGCGGCCTCAGAGGCCTACCCTGACGAGCCGCCACTGTTTAAGAGTTAAAAGACTTTTCAAAATGCAGTGGCGGCCCGTGAAATTTTGTTTTGTTGAGGCAGAGGCAAGGTTTAGTCCTTATCCGAAGTCTGTAAAACTTTTGTAAACTTAACTTTTTTAAAAAAAACATGACGAGGTCGCAGCCCAGACAGAAAGAATATTTAGTATACCACATATTAACAAAAGCACGACTAGTTTTACCAAGATTAATTATTAAATTACTTCAATTCCTTTAAAACAAGCATTTTTTCATTAAAAGAAAGACAACCAAATGGAAAATTCAAAAGGAAATCAACAATATGCCGTATTGAATATGAGTACGATATCTTACGGTTATATCCATAATGGAAGAATGTACACGAATTAGTAATTAAATTATAAAAGGAGCACATGTTGACGATGTTGTTGCAGCGCGTAGAACAGCTGTTCTCCGTTACGATAATAATAATAATCACAGAATTACAACATAATTGTACAGCATACTCATTGTGTTGTTAAAACGTCTTTTGCATCATTATATTTTCTATGTTTAAATTCTTCGCAAATTCTTATCCATAATCAATTCTACGCAGACATTAAAATTCTCTACCCATTGGCAACACTGAGCGCAGGATATCAAGATATAAAGATATGTGGGCGCCCACTGGGCGTGCTTGCCTCTTCTGCCAATGAACACCGTTCTTTGTCTCCTCCGGCCGCATATACATGTATGTATGTATGTATCATTCTAGTATACTAGAATGTTACATATATGGCAACAGAGTGCAGTGAATATATCACACCGCTTGATTCACAAGCCCAGAGGCATGCCTCAGACCAAGAAGTCTATTAAGCAAGTACAAATTTCGGGCTGTAAATATTTAAATGTTGCGGGCTCTTCTACGTATAAAATCAATTTAATTTATTGAATAATATATAATCTATGTAATTTATATTAGAAAGTAAAATATTGAACTTATGTTTAATTTTCACCTGCCTCACCTGAAAGACCGCCACTGCTAAAAGCAGTTGAAAATAACGAGCATGCTGGACCCCCTAACACATAAAAAACGATGATATAGTGAAAACATAGGAAAAAAGATGAACTATTAATAAGGAATGCTACCCACGAGTTTAACGCCGTTTTTTTTTCGTATATCAATATTACAAAAACACGATTTTGTAGCGAAACAATTAATTTCTTTTACCTCCCGATAATACCTTCTCACACTTAGTTTCTTTTTCGTGAAATTTTGGCCGAAAATAACACCGTAACCCCAATTCCAAAATAAAAAAACCTAAAAAATATGTTACTTTTCAAACACTCCTCTTAATTCGTAATTAAGTAAACATCAAATCTATCGTCGGTATGGACAGGTTTAAAAAATTCCTAATTTAGATTCGTTACAAAAATTTGGTGTTGCTGTATACTCTTTAATAAAGATGAATTTAAAGTCCGTTTTTTTTTTCAGATAAACGGGTTTAGATACTTCCAACTGGCAGCGCCCACCTAGGGAACACCAAATTGCGGCGAAAGCTGCTACCGTTATTAGTATTTCATCCCTTTTACGTGATAAGTTGCAATATTTTACTAGTGCCAATTTGTTGTTTGCGAACAATTCTATAACGTTGTTATATTCTATTTAACATTTAACTTCTCTCTATGTAGGTAATTAGAAATCGCTTTAACTTGTTTTGTCTGTCTTTTAATGTCTAGCATTTATTAGGTTTTACATTTATTTATACCGTTTTATACCTACTTAATTTGCTTTATGTTTTATTCTACATTCCATACAATTATAAAATTTAATATCTGTATTATGCCTTATATTATTATACTTATAATTACCTACTTAATTTGCTTTATGTTTTATTCTACATTCCATACAATTATAAAATGTAATATCTGTATTATGCCTTATATTATTATACTTATAATTACAACACTAAAAATATTTTAATTTTTACTTTCTTTCTGGACGCTAGTATGCAGTTTTTTGTTAAAAATCACCTAATTCAATCTTAACTATTTTCCACACATGTGGCTGATCCATACAGGACTTTTAATTCAATTTAATAATGGCTATTAATATTTTTTAATGGAAGTCAATAAAAATTGTGAAATAGAATTAAGAAGAACCATATCTTTTATATGGTCACTGATATTTATTAATTTTTCACAGAAATTCAATTTTGATTTAAAATCACAGCATAAGAACAATTTTGGTATGTAGTTTGTTATTACATGATATTAAAAAATATATATATTAATATAAAATTCTATGAATCAATTTTTGGGTTTTTCCTCTTAAATGGAGGAATTTGCATGATTTAACCATTTGTAAGGTCAGTAAGTATGATTAAGATGTTTAGATAACAAGTGTTGGTTTACGTAGATTTAATTAAACTTTAAGTTTTTTAATTGACTTGTTTGGTATTTAAATTTAATTTATCCGTTCATAACTTAAAATTACTTTAGCAAAATCTAGTTCTTTAAGTACAAAGAAAAAATTGATAATAGAGAGAAAAAAAGAGTAATTATGTAAATTATTTATATATTTTTTGTTAACAAATTAATTAATTAATTTTTGGGAAGAGTTATTTTCCTAAAAGTAATTAATACCTATCTAGATTGTTGGTAACTTTTATTTTTTATTATATATAAATTAGTAACTATAATAATGTTGTTTACGATTAAACCATGTATATATATATATATATAATATATATTATATATATATTATATATATATATATATATATATTATATATATATATATACATACATATATGTATATGTAATAAGTTGAACTACACAATTCACTTGTTAGGCAATTAAATAAAATTTAAAATAAAATCTATTTTTTTTACTGACCTGACCGACCTCACCATTAAACGTCTAATATGTTTTCCATAACTCAAAGTTAAAGGAATTATATATAGATATTCACCGTGGCACCCATTTGTTTGCGACTCACCCCCATAAAATCTTTATTTATTTTGTGATTTTAACCGATTGTGTAGATCTTGGATAAACTGTATTTTTGGACACCCCATATTTTTACAAAATACAAGGCCTACTATATCAGTTTTTAAGAGTAAATTTTTAAGAATCCAAATTAGCGATTTTTTTAAACAAAATCTAAGCACGGCACTGGATTCACCACCTCTCAAAACGACCCTATACCAAATTTTATTGAACAATTTTAAGTAGAAAAATGCATAATAATAACTACAATCATTTATTCTGTCAAGTTATCCATGAAAAAAACATTGAAATAAAATTAAACTAATAGTAACATGGTACAATTACTCTAGTAGGCTCTAGTATGACAGAATTTTGAACATTTAAGATATATTGCTTATAAGCTAGGTTTATTTTTGATTTTAGTATTGAACGCGCATTTTTAAAGTTTTGGTAATTTATAGCAGATTTTTGTTTTTTGTACCGCTTATGGTAGTAGTTTTTAAGTTTTAGAATTTCCTTTATTTCAATGGTATACCAATGTGGGAAGAAACGAATATATTTTTGAATAAAATTTATCACATGCTGCATTAATTTCTGTTTCGTTATTTAAAAAATTCCAGTCTGCCTGTAAGAAATCGTTATACAATTGAACAAAATTAGCCCTTTTATAATTGTAAGTCTTGGCTTGATTAATATTTACAGTAAACTCATGAACAGTGCTGGCTTTAAGAGATATAGATATGTTTAATGCTGGATGATGCAAATTTTCAGGAACGAATGGTACATCATGAGTAACACATATTTCATTTACATTACTACAAACTAGGTCTAGAGTTCTGTTATAGTTATTTAGGATATCATTAAATTGTTTATAATTATTAAAGTTTATAAAGTCATTAAATAAGTTTAATTTTGAATTAGAATTTACATTAAAATCACCGACAATAATAGTTTCCTCATTAAGGTTAGACAATAGATTGCTAAGTTCATCAAGAAAAAATTCAAAGCTATTAACAGACATATCAGGTACAATATATACAATAAATAAATAAGTTATTACAGAATTGATTTTAACTCTACAACCAATTATATCAAGTATACCTAGGTATTTCATTTGTTATATTGGTTAGATCTAATTCGGTTACATTAATGTATTCTTTGCAGGCAAATAACACACCTCCTCCACGTGTAAGATTTACCTTATCGAACTGCCTATCTTTTCTAAGAACACGATATTGGTTATTAAAATACTCCGAGCTTGATATATCTTGAGATAGCCATGTTTCACTTAGAAGAATAATGTCATAATCACAAACTGAGCAAACAGAATAAAATTCGTCAGCCTTGGATCTTAAACTTTGCACATTTTGATAATATATATTTAAAGAAATATTGGATTGAAAATTGTTGGGAGCATTTAGTTTTCCGCTTTCACCATAATTTTTGGAACACCTCTTTCATATTTTATATATAAATTATTTTCACCCTTATTTTTCCGTTCATCCATTTCCTTATATGTCGACTCGACTATTTATTTGGATCAAAAGGTTTCCTTAAAAAATTAATGAGTTTTTTTTATAAAATATTTATTATTAACAATTATTGTTTGATATTTGTTTAACAATAAATACGTATAAATATAATTTTTTTAAAAAAATTAGCTCTTTTTAGCTTTAAATTTGGTTAAAGGTCATCTTTGTAGGGAATTTAATTCCCTACAAAACCATATCACGGTATTTTTTGTATCTGTTATATTTAATGATTTATAAAACAAAAAGTTGCGAAAATTTTTTTTTACATAAATAATATATATATATATATATATACAGGGTGTCCCAGAACTCGCGCCACATAGAAAACCGGAACGTGCCGAAAGTAACGTGAAACACATATTTGAAAATTAAAATTGTCTAACGCAAAGGATAAGCGAGATAAGAATAAAAAACGATAGCCAATCCCAATAGATGGCCATAGGGAATTCTTTAAATTGCTAGGATACTTAGGTTGCATTGTTGATAATAAAAAATATGTAAAATATTTGGTCCACTGGAATCCAATTCATTGTGACACTGCTGTCAAACTCCAGTCATTAATATTATATTAGGTTATAAATTAAGTTATTATAAATAATGTTTTCCTTAGATGATTATACTGAAATGATAATTATTTATTTATTTAGTGTGGGCGCAACGCCAGGGAGACAACGCGAGTTTTTTCCCAGCCCTTTCCTAATCGTTATTTTAAAACATTGGCGTTCTGAAGTATAAGTCATAGATTAATAACCTTATTTTTGAAAGCTTTTGACAACTTAGTAAATACAGTTGGCCAAAAGATTTTTAAATGTTTTTAATACAACAATGTTCTATCGTCTCCTAGCAATTTTTAAAGCTCTTACGTTTAGCCTATAGGCGAGAGCTCTCGGTATTGGCTGCCGCTTTTTTGCTCTCATTCGATTACACTATTACCTAGAAATTTTTTATTTTTAAATTTGGCATCTCCATTGCTATCGGCACGCCCCCTTTTTCTCTGTGGCGCGAGTTCTGGGACACCCTGTATATAATATATATCTAATCGATTTGTTTGTCTCTCTGTGACCCCCTCAGGCTGTCCCACGAACATTCAAAGAAGGCATATATATATATATATATATATATATATATATATATATATATATACATCCCGCTTACAATGCTGCATCATTTCAAAGTACCGTCATTATAGCGTCTACCAGAAATACTGCAGTATATCGTGATTTAACATTGTAGAAGTGTTAATTAGACAAAATATTGACCGAATTTTACGTTAAATGTTTATAAACCCTTTTTTAAACTAAAAATTCATGTTACTATCATTGCTGCTTCTTTTTATTTTGCTATCATTTCTGCGTCGATGTATATCGAATTTGTTAAACCATCATTGCTGCAACAGAAGTGAATATTTTTTTCAACTCCCCCGTCTTTTCTGCGTCACCTATGTTGCCAGATCTTGTCGACGCATCATTGATTGTCTTTTGTACTAGGATTTGAATATTAAATTTATTAAAATAAATATTTAAAATCATAATACCCAATAATTTCGTCGTGCGTTGAGACTTGTTTTTAGCGCATATATATCGACGCTCACAAATAAAAGGCATAATATAAGTTCTTTAGAAATTAAATGATAAATTTTTTATGTATAATTTGTTGTCATTTAATAGTTTAAGGTAGTCTGGATAAATTCAATTTTTTAGCTTTAAAGGATGTGCAGAAAAAATTCTAGCCTACGGGATTCATTTTTGATATGTTAAATTAACATACAAAATGTGTGCCACTGACATTTTTAATTTTTAATAGCATAATAGCATAATTCAATTATGATAATTGTAGACAATAAGGTTCCTTATTGATATTTTTGGTATTAAATATTTTATTAGATTTAGCTAAGAAATTAACTAATATTTTCAAATTTGGCTTAGATATTCGAAGGACCGTTTCTAACGTTTTCTCAGTCAGGGTGGGTAATAAAATTTGCCGCTCTAATGTTGGTATACCTAATATAAATTGTTTATAATATAATATGTATAAGTGTTTGAAAGTAAAACGTCAAAAAATGTATCTAAAATAAAAATATTGACGGGCCAAAGCGTTTTTTTAAATTGTAATTAAAAAAATGCTCTTAATCTAAGGAGGCGTTTTTACCAAAACCATAAATAAAAAAGGGATTATTTTAAAGGATTTTTAAATCTTTATTTAATTACGTCTTAGAATAAGGCGAAACGGTTTAAACTTTCCAATTTTAGTTTTTTATCAATATTAATCAATTTAGGAGTGAAGAA